GAGGACGGAAGTGGAGCGTTCTCAGGGAGCTCTCCGATCACCCTCCTGGTCCAAATGACGACGGAGGGAGGGCCGGCAGCAGGGCGGGCAACCCGCGACCATCCCTCGTGCGTCGCGAACCGCGAAAGGCGCACGTCGTCGCAGTAGGTCGGTCGCGGTTCGCGATTACCCCCGCGAAGGACTGCGAACAACCGACGTCCTTTCGCGAGGGATGGTCACGGGTTGCCCGTCCTACTTCTAGGTACCAGCCCTCTCTCTGTCGTCATTCGGATCTAAGGGGAACGTTCCGATGGAGAATTCGGACACACTCCATGCCCGAATTTCGTACTTCTAAGGTTAACAGTGAGATCACAAGCGAAAAATCGCAACCTCGTTAGTCATAAGATGGTGAGGTCGTCGTCCGATCGACGTTTTGCTTGAGTAGCGCTCAGCTGATCATAACCTCAACAACAATAACTCCAAAGTCGGTGGTAGAGTTTTAATGTTAGATGTAATCAACAATAACTGATAAATAGTTTCATTTGGCGTATTGGTCATTTGAAGTCAAGTTAATAAAGAATAGAGAAAAGAACAACAAATGTCACCCTGATTGGTTAGTGGGTGAAGTGAAACGGGATGACTGGGCGGTAGTTAATACTCGGTATTCACAAGTTTTAACACGAAGATTTCTACCTCATTGCTTTAAAATGAATTCATGTTGCATTGAACGATAAGCTGTACGCTGAAGAGGGCACCTACTTACCCATCAGGCGGGGGGTCGTGACACCACCGTGGTCGTTGCATTCGAACGCAGCAGTCCGCGTCGGCTTCAGTTTACCCTTACCTTTTCCAAAACTGCAAAACTGGTACTCACAAACAGCGTGCTGTCGCTCCTCCCGAGTTACGCTGGTTGAAGTTTGACGAGGAAAGGGTCGTAATACACGGACACGGTAGGCACATAACCTAAGTCTTCGCGAATCAGGTTCGCGTCGCGGCAAGCCAAAGCAATCCTTACTCCTTGCTCGTGTCAAATCAAGAACTCCGGAAAATTTGATCGAAACGTGTTTGAACGATTGCGCCGAAGATTGTACCTTTGACTCAAGATTGTACACAAGAGCGAATCACAAACGGTTGCGCGACACGCGACGGGCCGACGGCTGACAGTCGCGTCGGCGGCCGGCGGCCGGGCCTGCTCACCTCCACTACTCACACCGGTACCGGTCGCGCGCGGCGATACACCCCGTGCCACCGTGCCAGTGCTGCCAGTACCCCTCGCCGTCGCCGCCTGGAATGCGAGGAGTATTTCCGAGGAGCCCATAGTGCTGTACCAGAGCTGGACGGTTGGACGAAGTGGTAGTGGTAGTGGTGCGCTCTGCGCTCTATCACCTGCACAAGCGACAACAAAGATACCTGTTGAGGATTCTGCAACGGCTCAATATTTACTCATCGCAGTCATCACTCACAGCGTTTTTTGACAGATGACACCCTCAATACTTTTCACTAATTTTAAAGAATGCATTAGTAACTTCAATGTGTCAGCTAGCTTTAACTCTCGATAAGCAGGACAGAGAACTAAGATCAAAAGCAGAAATCACCTTTTTGCAGCGTTCATAAAGAACTGTGTTTGCCTGCGGTGGTTCGCTGTTTGACAAGAAATAGGGTGCGACGCCCCCCAGGGCACAGGGCACGGACTCACGGGGTGCCCGTTACATCGGGTGCAGGGGCCTGCCTGCAGGAGCTAGATGGCGCAGGGATAAGTCCAGGGCCCCCTAGTCCTGCCCCGCCCC